CGGGTGCTTCTGGGGAGGTCGTGGCCGGAGCAAACGCCGTGTGAGGTGAGAATCCAGCCGCCGTGACCCAAGGAGCGCAACAGGACCTCGGAGATTCACGGTGGAAGGAACGGACTTGTCAGACGCCCCCAGAGTAAGACTGAAGTATTTCCTGTCATGTTTTTCTCTATTCTTACTTTCCAAATGGAATTTTCTCCTTTTGACAGCATTTACGATGCTGCATTGGGTCACGGTGATTCAGGGGTGACGCCTCGTGGGGCATAAGCTAAACAAGAACCCTCCTCCCCCACCGACACGAAATCAGGACCGACAACCAGACAGGACAAGTGACCCTGCGCAGCTCTTACAGCCAAGAGGTAAAAGAAAAACCAACCAGAGGGGTTGAGACTCTTCCAGCCTGGGCCATTAACCTTCAAACCCGAAAATATGCATCTGACTGGCCTAAATTATTAAGGGAGCACATAAATAATTAAATCTTGTTGCAGCAAATGAAGCGAGTCACTCCCTGAGGCTCGCCACCTCTTTAATTAGCGACGAAAAGGCAACAACAGAATTAATTCACAGGCCCTCGCTTTGGGTTTGAGCAGATGCGATTTCGGCCACGCGGATGCTCCGAGTCGCCGCTGCCACACGACTCCGGGTGAGACGAGCAAACACAAGCAAACCCATCCCAGAGAGACCAGGAGTAAGGACACGTGCGTGTAACCGCGTTGTAGCTGCACCAGCTCCATTTACCAGGAGGGTGAGGCAGGAATGGAACAGCACCGCCGTCATGCTTTCACCGCGTTTTATTTACCAACACGTTAGGTTTGACTTATGTTCCAGTGTGGAAGCTCCGATGTGTTCCACGTTTGCCCAGCACAGAGGGAACACAGGGGAAAACAAAAAATTCTTCCAGTGGCAAACTAAGAACTTGCACTGACTTTTTTTTCAAGGCAATTAAATAAACCGAAGGAAGGTTCGTTTCTTTTTGCAGACAGGCGGTAGGGAGGCCCAGGGAGAAGGGAAGACTGGCAAATCTCATTGCAGCACCTGCTTTAGCTCCATCTCAAGAGAGATGACAAGGTTGCTGTAAATCCACACGGTGGAGGTTCCAGTCTGGCAAAGCCAAAGCTTCCTCAAGCCGAAGGCGGCTCCCAGTTGCTCGGTGGGTTTTTTTCCAGACAAAGTTTTCACAGTCTCTGTATTATTCCAAGTTTTGGAAGAGCAGGCGAACGCTGTCACAGTATCAAAAACTTGTCAAAAATGTGTTTGCTCGGGAGAAGAGCGCGGTTCCTAACGGACAGACTGTGGCACTGCCGATCCAGCCGGCTGCGCCGAGTTGCCCGTGAGCGGTGGCAGAGGTAGGTGTGCTCACACGGTGACCTTCTCCATCACGCTGTCGGCGACGTGCACCTCGTCAGCCTGCACCGTCACGGTGGCCGACTGGCCGCAGATGTGCTGGTGGTCCTTCCAGTCCTGCGAGGGGAGGGCAGAGGGAAAGGCCATGAAGAGAAAAGGGCCCCCGGCTTCTGCGCCGAGTTGCCCGTGAGCGGTGGCAGAGGTAGGTGTGCTCACACGGTGACCTTCTCCATCACGCTGTCGGCGACGTGCACCTCGTCAGCCTGCACCGTCACGGTGGCCGACTGGCCGCAGATGTGCTGGTGGTCCTTCCAGTCCTGCGAGGGGAGGGCAGAGGGAAAGGCCATGAAGAGAAAAGGGCCCCCGGCTTCTCCACCCAAAAACCCATCAGCGTCAGGTCACGGGAAGGTTCAAGGTCAGAACTTTGACTTAACCCCCCTGCTGAGAGGCAGCTCACCAAAGCAGGCGCTCCCGAGGGGTCTTAGCTCAGCAGTGGTACAGGAGAGGAACACAACTCCTCCCGATTTACTTCTGCTTGGATTTTAACTTCTCCTCTGATTTTTAACTGCTCCTCTCACTTGCTCAGCCCAGAGGCTGCACGTCACAGCTCGCAGGGAGAGGGGGAACCTCAAGGAATCGGTTATGGCCAAGCACTTCCAACCCTCCCGCCCTAGTGCAGTGCAGAGCACAGGCACGGGCAGGTCTCCACTCAGATGTGACAAAGCTGTCCAGGAGGGGACAAAAGGTGACCCCTCGGTGCCATTTCCCGTGCGCTTTGTGCTGAGGGGACAACAGGATGGCTCTCACTGTCCCTGAGATGCCTGGGGAGGCAGCGGGTCGACCGCCTGTGTTTCCTGCCAGCAGCGTTTGTTCCCCCTTTGGGTTTTTACCTTTCCATTACGCAGACAGGGAATTTGCCCACCAAGCGGCAAAAGGGAACGTTCAAAAATCGTAGCTATGTGACACATCCAGCCTTGGTTTGATTCAGACTGAACTTGGACAGCCCACAGAACTGTAACCTCAGCTCAACTGAATTATCCTTCCTCCTAAGGTGGAGCGCCAAGGGGCTGCGCAAGCAACCTGTGCGAGACACGAAGCGCAGCAGCTTCCTCCGTCTGTTTCCACCCCCCATGTTCAAAATCTTACACTTTGCCCCACGGGATCGCCTGCCGCATCGCAAATAACAGAAAGACTATGAGAACTGCGTCCCCAGCGACCCGGCCAAGGTGCCAAGGAGCGCTCAGCTCCCCAGGAAGCAGCAGGGGAAGGGTTGTAGAAGTGCTCCCAGCACCCTGGTGCCCGCAACGTCACTCTGATTCTCAGAGTTTTCAACTCACAGACAAGCTTGTACCTTCCGCTGGCAGAAAGTGGAGCAGTAGTTGACTTTGTGGCAGCCCGTGCACTCGTTCGTCGCCTCGCGGCCGCAGTTAACACAAGACTGCTGCAAAAACAGGACGGTGAAGTGACCGCGTCAGAGAGAACAACAACAGGGAGCTCAGCAAACGCAACGCAGGCGCCGTGACATGACGTGAGCAGCGCCGCAGGCCCCGGTTCCCAACATGTCCTCAACACAAACCCAGCAGCTTCTGGACACTGGGCAGATTTGGTTGTGGTTTTGTTCGGTTTAAAACCCCACGTACACGTGAGAGAGGGTCTGAGGAAGGACAACAGGAGCCTGAAAAATCTTCATATACTCGAAGGTAAAACCCTTCGGTTTAACCTTTGCCTGTTTTTTTGCGAGGAAGAAGGGATCTGCTCCTACGGGCTGAGCAGGATTGCGCCTGTGCCAGTCGGCAGCACGATCACACCCGCAGCGTCCCAAAAGTTTACTCCAAAAGGAGTAAAACTGAGAAGGGTATAACGGGAGGAAGGACTTAAACTTAGACGTAAGGCGAGATAGGATACGTGGGTGACGAATCACAGCTGCTTTTTAAAGGATGTTTTTATGTCTATCACTTTAATCTTATACCAGCGACACCAATTAACATAACCCGTTTAGGTGGGAATATCCTTGAACTGCCACAAAAACAAAGCACTTCACAGAGCACCTCACTTCAGCTCGTTAAATTCCTGACAAATCAGTAGCAGGTTGGAGCAGCAGCGTGAGGCCGTGGCGGGAAGTGTTTCTCGTCTGCGAAAGCATCGAAGGCGTCTTGAGTTGAACCAGCTCCTCCTCCCTTCTGAGCACAACCAACCCCGAGATGAACACCAAGTCCATCTCGCCGCCTGCTCACGCCGTAACGACGTGCCTGCGAGTGACAGCCGGTGTGACTGAACTGATTTGTGTTCCCGAGGCACGGCCGGCGATTCGGGCCACTAAAACAGGGCTTCAAGCCGCTCTTTGGGAAAAGACAAAGAACAAAAGGCTCTTGATAAAATACGAGACATCCCCAGCTTACCTTGATGATGATTTCTGTCTTCCCATCCACGTCTTCCGTTTGTTGAAATAACTGGTTCTGATATTGCTGCAAGGAAAAAGACACCAGACTTGTTGTTTTGTACAGCGTGAGGGGTTGGGGAGGGGGGTTCTGCACGGAGGGGCCAGACACTGAGCTGGCTTCTGGCGAGCCCGAAGCTGCAGCTGAAGAGGAACCTCACTCTGCCCTTACAAGAGAGGGACACCGTGCTCACAGGTGGAAACAGATAAAGAAATCCATGAGGAAATGGCCTGAGGTGACAAACTGCCAGTTACGCGGAGCAGTTCTTCCAACGCCGCTCTCCCCACGCCTTCCTCAAACAGGTGGTTCCACTGGCACAAGAGAAGTGCGCCCCCAAACACGAGAGCCCAAGGAGTGGTCACAGGAAATATGAGGAAAATGAGTAATAGGGTCAAGCATCATCTTCTCAGGCCAAATTTTGGGGCAAATCCAGCAATCCTAATAAACTAAGGGGCAAAAAGGGTCTGAAGGGGCAGCGTAGCCCAACAGAACGGACTAGGGGAAAAAAAACAGGCAAAATTAACACACCCTTTAGAAATAGCATCAACCACAACCATTTTTCCTCCTTTTAATAAAAGCATCAAAGGGCTTTCCAACAGCTTTTAAGTCAGGCAGTCCCCTGGGGATTCTAAACCAAAGGAATTTCAAACCAATCCTGCTTTGTTTATGTGCTAACCCTGATTTTTCGGGGGATTTTTTATTGGGAACAGTTAAAAAGTATGAAAAAAGCCGACCCTCCACCTGCAGGCAAAGCAGGTTTATCCAGGAGTGAGTATGACCCAGCCCATAAGGAGATTAAAGGCTTAATTTACAAGTGTCTCTATGACCTGACATCCCAGCATTTATACTCCTGTGAAACCACAACCTTCAAAACCTTTGCGTTGCCAGGACACAAACTGAAATTAAAAAATAACTCGAAGGAGACAGAGGGAAACCTCTTGCTGCAGACTCTTAAGAGGTGTGATTGGGTTCTGCCATTACTTGACACATAGGCAAGAGCTGGTTAAGGAGCCGGACGGGGCACAGCCATGCAGCGTCCCGCTGCTGCCACTCCCGCAGTACGTGCAGAATTTTTAAAATTACCAAACTGGAAACCAAGCGTCCCAATGAAAAGCACTCTTGGGAAGACAGGGAATGCGCGGTTAAGCTTGAGATGTGGCCTCTGCCCTAAGAATCAGTCCTGCTGCGTTTCAGGAAGGGAATGACCTCGATTGCAGCTTCTCCACCTCTGCTGGAAATCACACACTCAACTCCCTTCTGCCTCCTTTCCATCTACCCCCACCGGGAGCCCGCTGGTTCTGCACAGCTCGCGGCGCGAGGGATTTAAGCCACGCAGAAACTACGAAGAAGAAAAAGTGTGATAAGAGAGAGAATCAAGCCAGACACATCCCCATCTCTCACTAAAACAGCTCCAGAAAATCAATAACCTCCAATTCTCAACCGTTTTCACTGCTGCTTGGGAGTTCAACACCTACTATTTGCTTACTAGAGCTACATCCCATCAATGCCTGACCCTTTTTAGGGTAATTTCATACTCTCTACCTCTGAATTGTTTTAATCTTTCTAAAAAAGAATTCCAACGGCCCAGCTGTTAGCCGATTTAATCTTCCACCTTGTTTTCCAGCGGGCTGGGCTCAGGAGGCATCACTGCAAGAGGGCTACTTCAGTTAAAACACTTGTCAGATTTCGACAGCGATTCTCCCAAAATTTATAGAGAAAAACCATTTAACGCATCTCCTGATCATCTTTATTACCTTCCGGCAAAAGAGCTATTTTCATAAAGGCTGGAATGAAAATTTGGAGGTTACAGATAGCTTTTTTCACACAGCCCCTCTGAAGGAAGCATTATTTTAAAGAGCAGGCTCTGAGGCTTAGAGAGGCCAAGGACCTACAGAAGAGCAGTAAAATAACCTGCGGCAAAGATGGGAACAGAATTTGGAAGAGATTCTCAGCCTTGAAATTTGCCCAGCGACCCACAGTCCTTCAGCAAACGCACAGAAATTGAAGGACACAGGCAGCAGCAGCAGCAGCGTGCGGGAGGGGACTTCCCAACTGCAAAATCACGCGGGAGAAAAACTCTGCCGGGGAAGCCTTGAGCCAGGTGCTTGGAACGGCAGTTAGGGAGGAGCTCCTCCCGCAAGCTCCAGCTCAGACGTGCCACCTTAGGGAAGGAACAGGGCTGCAGATGCTTCCCAGTTTTGCTCCACTTCCCATTTTTGTTATGGTTTTCACTTGCTGCATTTAGCAGATCCCCTTCCTCTGCCATGTTGGCATCTCCACCGTCAGACCCGCATTAAGAGGGGGGTGGCATATTCCTAAGGCTCCTTCGAATACTCCTGGGTAACGCCATTAGCAAGCGTGACCAGAAGGGAACAGCGCTGCCCGCTCTTTGACTTCACAGCTGAGAAAGGAAACTGCCTCTCCCAGCTCAGAGCTCTCCAAGTCCCACAAGCACTCCCCGCCGCTCAGCACGGAGCGCAATTTCAGGTATTTAAGGGTAGGTCAACCAAACTGCTGCTCTGCAGGAACACACTGGCTCATTCATGCTATTTAGGGAACCCCCAAGCTCATTAAATAGTCAGTATAACGAGCGAAACACAGCACAGTGAGTGATCTGCAATGCACAAGGCATACGAGCTGCAATTAAAAATTCTTAACGCTTCATTTATTGCTCTCTAGGAAGACTGAAACCAAAGCAGCACACGAGCACGCCTTCCTACAGGTTTGCTGTTCTTGCCACCTCTCTGCCGAACCTTGGGGCCAGTCCAGACTCTCCCGGAGGGCAGCACCGTCCCAGCACCTCACTCGTCTCTCGGGAGGCAGAGGGTGACCAAGGGACAGCAGCAAGATCAAAAGTGCCCAAACTAAACAGCCTCAAGAGCTGGGTCACCCCACCACGGTGCAGGGCTGCGAAAACTAAAGACACACATCACTGACAGTCACAGCGACGGGGTTTGTGCGTCCCGTTGGGAAGCAGCCCGCTCCCGAGAGATTTCTTTAATCCCGCCGTGTATTAAGTCACTCTTCCAGGAAGAGCTGAGTCTACAGCTCTGTTCTAATTTAATCTGCTGAACAGCCTTTGCTCCACAGCTCTCGTACGACGCACAATCTTCCGCTTCAAAATACCCAGGAACATACCCACCGCCCGGAAAATCTGCGATAAAGCACCCATTTGCTTTGTATTAAATTGGTCCAGCACAAATCACCAATGGCCAAGGTAGGAAAACCCCTCTTTCCCCATCTCGTATCCCTTAATCATCAAAAAAAGCACCCACACACTCAGGGCGGGTAAGACACTTGTGTTACAAATCAAGGGAAACGTTACAAAATCAGAAAAGCACGTTCGGCCAACGCCAAAGCAGACAGCCCATTATTGGCCATTTATTGTAATTACTTGCAATGTCAGCCCTGCACCCAGAAATCCCCCCAGAATGATTTTTTTTCCCATTTTTCAAAAAAAAAAAAAAATCAATTCACCAGAAGGAATTCAGAAAGTACCACCCAGATGGTTCCAAAAGTGGGCACACAGCAGCAAGCTTGAGAATTATTTGGATTTTACAAAAATAGCACCACGAGCGAGTGCTTTTATCAAAATAGAAAACTGCAGAGGTGCCCATGACACGGTAAGGATGGTGAGACAGACAAGCTGTGCAACTGAGGCTTCCCTCGTAAAGTTGGCACTTTCATCCCTACACAAGAGGGATTTTAACTCCCATTCCCGGGGTAAGAAGAAACTGGAAGTATATGGAAACGAGCTGGATTGGGATCAGAGGGTGAAGGGAACGGACTCGGAACAACAATTCCAGAAAGCACCGTAAAGATCAAATGAAGGGAAGGCAGCACATAAACTGGAAAAAGAGCAGAGAGCGAAGTTAAACATGTTCAGAAGTTCCTCTCTTCCGGCTTTTCGGTCCCCCACGTCCTTTTTGGCAGCAGCCAGCCCAAAGCTGGGCAGTAGCACCAACACCCGTGCCGGCCTGGCGGGAGGCAGGGCAGAATTAACACTCTCAGCGTTATCACACACCTGCACATCAAGGATGCAGTGTACAGAGGAGGTCAGCAGAGACCACGTGGCAAAGAATATCAAAGACGCCGCAAGGACTGTCCTAGGGGTTCTCAGCTCTCAGTAAAGTCTTCCCACAGACACTTCTTCAAGGTCTCTTGCTGCACACCCGTGCCTATGGATTCAGTGGAAAGCTGACGTTAGCAATAACGCCGACGGCAACGTCGGGGAG